GGAGGGTGTCGGGAGGGGTGCGGGGGGTCTCAGGAGGGGTGCGGAGGGTCTCAGGAGGGGTGCAGAATGCCCAGGCAGGGGGTGCGGAGGGTCTCAGGAAGGGTACAGAGGGTGTCATGAGGGGTGCGGAATGTCCCAGGAGGGGTGCAGAGGGTCTCAGGAAGGGTACAGAGGGTGTCAGGAGGGGTGCGGAATGTCCCAGGAAGGGTGCGGTGGGTGTCAGGAGGGGTGCAGAGGGTGTCAGACGGGGTGCAGAGGGTGTCAGATTCCGCTTCAGCTGCGGCGTCTCAGTATACTGCGGCGTCTCAGTATACCGCGAGCTACAGCTCTTCTATGGGACATAGCCTTTTTCCAGGCTACACCATGAAAATCACTAGCTTTTGACCCGTACCCACCTCAAGCATGGCTTCAGGTGGTCAACTTCATACTTTTATGTTTTGTTCAATCTCACACATGGGAATGTGCCTTATATCAGGGAGGATATCAAGGTTGTATTTGCCCTTGTATTATATACAGGTTGTAACTGGCTTAGGAATACTCACTGCTCACTGCTTTCAGAATGCATTTTGCATGTTCATTTGCATGCTTTATTGAAGTGTTAAATAAAAATAAAATAAAAATAAATGTAGTATGGTTTTATGCTAGATTTTGTCTGGACACACACCTGAATGCAGCTGATGTGGGCAAGCCCTAATAAACAAGATCACTACGGAGACAAGTTACACACTTCATGATCCTTGGTTAAGCGTGGAGCTATGTACTATACATCGTTTAGACATAATAGTCTATTGGGTACAACTACATGGTAGGGTGTTTTTACTCCCGTACAGGTTTAGTATGCTGAAGTAACGACCTGCTTTAGGTTTTTTACATACATCGGCTTCACTATTCTGCTTTTAGTATTGGAGGTATCAAAAGTCCTGGAATTGACAGTTTTTGAACAATGGACCTAGGTACATTTAGCAAGATGTCCTAGACGAGGTTCAAACAAACTTTAGTGTGTGTGTGTTTGTGTCTGTGTGTGTGTTTTCCCTACTGAGAGTCCATTATCTATGGCAACATAAGTGGGTGATGGTTCATGGGTGACCGTGTGTGTACAGATGCACACACAATACCTTTAACGTGTACATCAATGCTTTTTATATTCATAGTATCTACTACCAAGTTATAGGTGAATGGATACCATTTAAAGAAAGACTACTTATTCTACCTCCAGATAACGTTGGGGGCAGTAGTTTTGATATACACTCTAGAGCCTGCTGCCGAGTAGTCCTGGTGTGCTACACCCCGGACAGTTATTGGCAGCTTGAGGACCTGGGAGGACAGATAGAATAAAAAGAGGGATGCTGAATCTCTGGGAATCTATCTCATCCATTGTATAAAAGATAGTTACTAAATCTAACTAGATTTTGTAAATCAGTCACTCTTGGAGGAGATTCAGGAATATTTTTCACCTGTTTCAGGGCCTAAGAAAGGCTGTAAAACATCCTCTAGACCTGTCATCTAGAATTTTTTCTGACAAGCTACAATAAGGCCTTAGGCTAGGTTCACACCAGATGCAGTGCGTTCAGGCCCGATTCTGGCCATAACGGACTGCATCGCATTGGGGCCGGCTCACTTTTTTGAGGGGCAGGAGTGGGCGTGACGTGCCATTTAAGGGAATGGCGCCGGAGGGCGTAGCTACGGTGCCACTACCACGGACGTTCACCGATCTCCTCTCCAGCTTCCTGCCGACACCCGATCCTGGGCCCGTAGGAGGGGCAGCGGAGCCCAAGAAACCAGGCGGGGGTGTCAGGTGGGGGGGTTGGCCTGGGTTACCAGATCGAAGAAGTGATCTGGCGGCAGCTGAGCCTCCAGAATCGCTGCTACTGTAAAGCCGGTCGCCAGCTCTACAAAACTGAGCAGACTCTTGGTGGCTTTTAGCCTGTTTACCCTTTCAGACTTCATGATGGGATTATCCCGTCATAGGTCGTGAAGGAGTTAAGTAATGCATTTGATATAGTAGCGTAAGTTTTGCAGAGTATTATATTTAGTATTTTGTTAAGTTTGTTTCTCCACAGCCACCCTGAAACCCTCTGTCACATCATCTGTTTCAGTCTTACAATTGTTCCTGTTGTGTTGCCAAAGTGGTTCTCCTTTTTATCTTCGTAATCTGTAAGCATATGTTTTAGCCAGAACCCACGCACCTGTAGAACTCCCACAGTGATACCAGCCATTGTTTTCTCTATAAAAGGTACCAACCATATTCAATTAGTGCTGAGACAGACGGAGAGACATGAGGAAAATGCTGCTTTGGGCGGGTAAGAGACACAAATCATAATGCTTGGCATTGCACTTACTTTATTGTCTGCATGATATTTTAATGCCTTGAATGCAATGTATAGTCTGTGATTACAAATGGTAAAACTGAATACTACATTAACTTGCCTTGCTGTTCTATAGATATTGTTATCCAGGACTTCTGCAGAGTCTCTCCCGTCCAATGACACTCTCTACCCCAATATTCTCCAACTCCAGGGGTGGGGAACCTCCAACCCTCCAGTTGTGGTGACCCTACAAATCCCATGATGCATCTATCTCTGGGAGTCATGCCTGTGGCTGTGTGAATCCTGCAATGCCCACCATAGCTGGAGGACTGGAGGTTCCCCACCGCTGTCCTACTCTGTCTGCCTTTAGGCGATCCTTCAAAAATTCATCTCTTCAGGCAAACATATCACACCTCGACATAATAACTGTCCTTTTACATCTTCTATTATCCCATCCCACACAATTATTACCTCTTGTATAGCTTGCCCCTCCTACTAGATTGTAAGCTCTCATGAGCAGGGCCCTACTAAACCTGCTGTATTGAAATTGTATTGTACCTGTGCTGTCCCCCTCCATTTTGTAAAGTGCTGTGTAAACCATTGGCATCATATATATCCTGTATAATAATAATAATTTAAATGATGCCATTTATTACACAGGTCTATTCCTGCTGCTCCATGTACAGCTAGGTAAGTCATATATCTGATAAGTTTTACAATATCTGCATGAAGGCTTGCATTGTGTAATTAATTATTTTTGAAAAAGCCAAATCGTCTATCTGTCCTGTCTCACCATCTTTACCTCTTTCTTTGTAACATCAGTGCTGCTAATACAATCACTGATGGAGTGTTTGTGTCCTGTGTATTTTTCATTTAAATGCATACTGAGGTGAAATTCACATTTAAAGAAGAACTCCTGTCAGAATAAAGCGTAACCCTTGCAGTGGGACTAACCCTGTGCTTTTTAAAGGGGTTTTCCAGATGTGGTGTTATTTATGTATTGTATTTCATAAAGCATAGTGTTTGGTGTTATAAATTGCATAATGTGTGCTGGGTCTTCTATGTAACCACTGTTGCTGACTTATCTTTTAAGGGCAGCTTTTTTTCTTTTTAAAATTGTTAATGGGTTACGGACCAAGGACTTTGAGTTTTTATATGATTATAAGACTATTATGGAGGGAATCCCAGTTCATTTTTTATTGATTATGGTCTACCACCACACTGCAAGGGTTAAAGTGCTCGTTTTGGTCGAAGGTGTCAAATAAAAAAGATGTATTCATCTGAACCTTAGTCCTGCCTGGCTGCTAGGCTGGTCTCCACAACCTCTCTCCCCCTCCACTCTGGTGGTCTAATGACCCGTGGTCATCACGTCTAATGCAGTCTATTAGAAATGAGGATGCCGAGGGACATTCCATCGCTGGAGGGGGAGAGAGACTGCGGCCACTGGTCCAACAGACTGGCAGGTTCGGGTGAGTATCTTTTTTTTATTTCATTTTTTAAAATTTTACACCCTAGATCAAAACAAGCACTCAACCCTCGCAGTGCGGCACTAGCCCCACTGCAAGGGTCGAGTTTTATTATGCCCACATTTCTTCTTCAATCCCCTTTTGTTTTCTGCCACTAATTATCTGCTTTCTCTAGGTTCTACCTACAAGCTGGTTTGCTATTTTACAAACTGGTCACAATACCGACCTGAGCCTGCAAAGTATGTGCCAGGGAATATTGACCCGCAGCTCTGCACCCATCTCATATATGCCTTTGCCACCATGAATCAGCACAAGATTGCGCCATATGAGTGGAATGATGATGTACTGTACAAACAGTTTAATGACCTAAAGCAAAAGTCAGTATTCCAAACATTTCCTCCAACAATGTATCTAGTTGTGTAGACATGTAATGTTAGATAAGGAACATTGGGTACATTCCTCCAATGTTATCAAATTATCTGGCAACTCCATTGTGAAGACAGATTAAAAAATGTGAAGCTGTTAAGAGATCTACTTTTGTCTTGTACAACAATATTTTTCTAATTTATCCTTTAGAAGTCATATATTAGGAGTTTGTCAGGTTTATATACTTGTGAAAATGTTTTAGGATTTATTGTTTTTTATTGTAAATCTGTCTTTAACTTCAGTGTGCTAACTTTGTTTTTGCAGATTTGTTTTATTTATTACATTCCATATATATTTTCAGCAACTCCAACTTTTAGGAAGGAACTTTTTGAAGAGTGACGACAGATACAGACCAAGTGGTCCATCGAGTCTGTCCTTTTTTTAAAAATTTTGTCTGAATATTTTAATGTTTACATTCACTTGCTGTTGACTGACTCGCCACGTCTGGTGGAAGTCTGCTCCATGCATCAACTAGTCTTTCTGTAAAATTAATGCTTTCTAAGTTTTGAACTTTTCTCCTGCTAGTTTGAGGTCATGCCCCTGTGTTCTGGTCTTATCCATATATTAAAAATACTTCCCCCTGAACCTTATTTACACTGTTGTATGTAAAGGTTTCAATCTTGTCCCCCTTTCCCTTCTTTCCTCAAAACTGTACATATTCTGTTTCTGCAGTCTCTCCTTATATATCAGTCAGACATCTCTAGACTTCTTGTTCTAGCTCATAAATTCCTTTTTTGTAAGTGAAGTCCCCAGAATTGAACACCATATTCTAAATGAGCAGGATCGTCTCTATAATGAGGGAGCATGAGGCGGTTGCCTTAGGGGGCATCTCAGTAGGTCACTTGGGGGGGTGGCAGGTGACTGACCAGAGCATCCCAGGTTGCCAAGATCTCTTTGCATCCTGTGATGCTCTGGCCAGCGTCCTACCCAACTCACTGACGTTACTGCTTTCCAGGACCTGAGTGGGATGCTCTAGCTGGTGTCCCACCCAGTTCTTTGCAACCAGTGACATCAGTGAGCTTGGCAGGACACCGGACACAGCTGCCGGATCCAGAGGTGGCACTAGCATCCCCCCCAACCCAGGTTTTTGAGCATCCACTGCCAGCACCCAATCGACCACAAAGATACGAGTTTCCGACACCAGAAGCCCCACCCCTCCCCGGTACAAAGCATGCATCCCCAGCAACCAGCAAGAAGTATTGAGCTGCAGTTTCCCCTGCTTTATTTGCATTAAAGCTTACACCTTCCCGTATTGGAAATGTTCCTATTCATCCATATTGATTTTATTTTATTCATAGTAATGTGTGAGGTTTTTTTTATTTTTTTATTCTTTATAGTCCTATTTAGTTGTTTGTCTTGTTTAACCTTAAGGCCTGGTTCACACCTGAGTGTTTTTTTGCATGGAAGCATGCAAAACACAGAAGTCAAACAGTTTAAACTTAAGTTTATTTTTGCAACTCCTTGTCCAGCATGCATGTAAATGAATTCTAACACAAATGTTATTATGTTTGTGGTCATTGTTGCCCAAATATTTGTAGACCTTCATATTTGATATGGTATTTGGTCTACTGTATTAGAAATTACCAAATTTAGCAATACATCCTCTCAAGTTGGTTCTGCCTTCACATGGGCGACGTCTTTTGCAATTATATACATATCGGATATTACTTGTGGCCATCCGTGTCTGTTCAGTATTTCCTCCATCTGTTATGGAGACAAAAAATGCAATAAACTAATCCACGTTAGGTCTATGGGCAGTCTGATGTAAGCGGACATGTTTGTTTACCTCTGATTATCTCTGATCAGCTATGTTCAGGTCCACCAAAACGGAATCCCTATGTTTACCAATGTAAATTCCATGCCATTGTGTCTTCAAATATATTTTAATTTACAGGTAGTCTTAAGATATAAGCTATATAAAGTTACCTATCAGATGTAATCTTAAAAATGAAAAATGCAATCTGATTGGCTGCTGTGGAAAATCTCTCCATTTTTGTAAATATTTTTAGCTTTAGTTTTACTATATCAACTTCACCCTGTTCCAGCTATTGTAAAACACCTGTTGATAAAATTATTGTTTATTCTGAGCCCTGTAATTTGTTCTAGGAATTCAAAGTTGGTAACACTACTGGCAGTCGGTGGCTGGAACTTTGGGACACAGAAGTAAGTCTACTAATGAAATGAAACACACACTTCATGCTCTATAAACCACTTTCCTCATCTTGGGTGTGTTCATATCCTTAGGTTCACAGATATGGTTGCCTCTGCTGCCAACCGTAAAATTTTCATTGGTTCTGTGATCGCACATCTTCGACAATATAACTTTGATGGTATTGACCTTGACTTTGAGTACCCAGGATCCCGAGGGAGTCCACCTGAGGACAAGCAAAGATTTACTACTCTGACAGAGGTAGGAAAATTAAAAAGTTATTGACTTTGTAGGGGTTACAGTAAATCATACTTTTTTTATATTCACGGATATTATTTCTTTAACATCATTGGTGAAATTGCTATGATTTTAAAATTATGTTTAAGGGGGGTCATGATATTTACTGTATAAAGCCCATGTAGATGTGAGTGATAAAGTATTCAGTGTTCTTCTGGTGGGTGCTGTAATGTCTTTTGCCCATAAACAGAAACAAGAGCACTCGGCATTGTCAGCTTTTTTTAAGGCCAGTATGACAACAATATGGCTACTGAGTGAGAAGTTTATTGATTCAAAGTCTTGCTTCTCAGGTCCACTGCATTGCTCACAGGCTTGAAAAGCTTTCTACTTCCCCTATGTTACAAAAGTATTGCATATAATATTTTTTTGGGGGGTGGAGTTTGCTACTACTCAGGAAAAGATATTCAATTAGCCTACATGCATTATCCAAGTTATATGTAATCTGCTCGAACTGCAACACGGCAATGAATAGTTTAAGAATTATTTCAGCAGATAGTGTATGTGTATATCAGTCTTATTGGACCTCCCCGAGACCACATGCTTGGTTACATTGGCAACCCCCCTTTTTTTTTTTTAAACTAGAGGTGACAACAAAATGTCAAAATGACCTCTGTTGCTGTAATATTTTTTTCACCTTTAGGCATTGCACAGTTTAAAAAAATGGTGCAGTACTGTAAGTTTTGTATGTGGATTACCTATGGCAGTCTCATCCCCATGATGCATGTCTCATGGGTAGCTGAACAAATCCAAAGATTGTATTTTATTGGTCAGTGGTCTTTTTTTCTCTTTGTCAGGAAATTCTTGCGGCATTTAATGCAGAAGCAGCATCTAAAAATGTTCCACGACTACTGGTCACAGCAGCTGTATCTGCAGGAAAAGGAACCATTGATGCTGGATATGAAATTGCAAAAGTTGGAAAGTAAGTGAAATACCTATGATTTTGCTAAGCTTAGAAATGCATAATATAGATCTCACACTCTTTTTATAATCTATATATCTCAATAATATATTTACCAAGCTGATGGCCCAACTTAGATGAAAACTTAGGAGAAATATATTAAGCAAATGGTGTTTATGCTTGCAATTAAATGAGCCTTCTATGACCGACACCAGAGAAAGCCGGGAGCCTCATGTGACCAACAAACCACTGGATTTTGATCCTATAACAGATAAAGTGTAAATATTAGTGTAGAAGTATTTAAAGATAGATTTTATCTGTGAAAGATTGTAACTTGTCTTTTGTTGAGCCTTATAGGAGATAACAGGTTGTAACTATTATCTGCATCCAGCTCAGAGTCCTCTCGTGTGTGTTCACAGAACCCTGGATTTCATCAGCGTGATGACGTACGATTTTCATGGTGGGTGGGACACTCAGTCTGGACACAACAGCCCCCTGTGTCAGGGATCCACGGACCACGGAGATTTAATATACTTTAATATTGTAAGAAAAGTTCTTTATAATACAAACAAGTCTTTAAATGTAACTTTGGCCTGGCTATTGGCATTCACATGTTTACATATTTTTAAGTAAATGAGCTTTAAAACAAGTCATCTCTGACCTAATAGATCAACAGCTAGAGCAATTAAGGGCCCATTCACACCACAAGTGTTGGGGTTGCACTGGATGCTTTTTGCAGCACAGCCTCAATGCACAGGCAAGGCAATTTCCCTAATTTAAATTGGGCAGCACTGCAATGTGCTTAAAAAAAGTATGGCATGCTGTATTTTAAAAAAACCAGCATGTGGTGCAACATGGTACCGCTGCATCGCACCACACTGTGCAGATAGAACTTAATGCTATGTCACTCAGTATAACCCAAAACAATAAACCTGTACCTGTCAACGCACACCAGCAATCATGTGATTTTGCACGGCTTGCCGGTGTGAATGGACCACAAGTCCTTGTCCAAACCAGCTCTGCTCTCCTTTTTTCTCCCAACAGTGACTCAGTGGACTTTTAGCCTTTCAATCTCTAATGTAAACACACAGCAGATGCTCTGAAAGGGGGGGGGGGCACTGAGAGGGCTGATCACTTCAGTGCTCCTGCTGCGAACTTGAGGATGAATTGCTCCACAGTGCCTGAAGCTACACATGTCAGTGATGACTTGTTTTAAAACTCATCAAAACCCATATTCGCTCATTTCCAAAGAAGAAACGACTAGCTTTACAAAGTACATGATATGTATAAACTTAGTGAAGTGACAGTAAAAATTGACATGAAAGATTTAAAGAACCCCAGGCAGAAGAAAATGTAACCCTTGCACTGGGGCTACCCCCGCACTACAAGGGTTAAGTGCCTACTTCCGACTAGGGTCTATAATAACAGATCTACTCACCCAATCCTCTGACCCACCTGGCTGCTACACCGGTCCCTGCAGCCTCTTTCCCCACCCCCCATTACAGAATACTTGTTAAATATTTGCTGAATCTTGTTTGACTCATTCTTCATTCTGTGTATGGGTAGCCATAAAAAAACTGCTGCAAAAATGTAAGATTGTTAGTTGGAAAGAATAATATGTGTTCAGTGTGCAGATATTTTCTTTATTTTGAAATTATTATTGCAGCTTTTACTTTAAGAGACACTGCCACCTCTCCATTCTGAGCAAAGCAGTGTAGATCATTTACTAAAGAAGTAGATCAGAGCAAAGCAAATATTAATTTTCCTAACAAATTCTCACTTTAAAAGAGAACTATGGGGTAAGTGTTTTTCCCTATAGTTCTCTTTAGGGTCACGGGAGGACATATACTAACCTCCTCCCATGACCCAAAGCTTCATATATAGCAGGCTATTGCCTGCACTATACTGAGAGCGCCGCAGCCGGGACGGATCACAACAATACTGTCGAGATCCACCCAGCTGCGTGAGTGACAGCTGGCTCTGCCTAACTAGAGGCAGAGCCAGCGGTGTCCTCCCCCTCCCCCGTTCGTTCCTCCACTCAGCGCTGGAGGATCGGAGAGGGGAGGGGGGAATTCCTGCGGGGAGCGGTGACTAACAGTCACCGCTCACTGCAGGGAGACGATCAAAAGTAAGTGGATTGGCTGCATGTTTCTGCTCACTTCCCAATCAATAGAGCCAAACTGTGACAGCTTCTTTGTCACAGGTCGGCTCTAACTATGAGGATGAATGGAAATCACTCACCTCATAGTTCTCCTTTTAAAGTTACTCTGGGAAATTGCTTTGTAAAGAATCAATTTTTACCTGTACCTGATTGAAATACCACAATTTCTACAGACCATTAGGTCTCTTGGCTTGCCTATGGACTCTGTAATGTGAAGAGATTTCTCATAAGCACTACCTATTTGGTTTACTAAACTATACATATTTCCTACTTTTATATGTGATGTTTCCATCATTTTATCTTTTCATCACCAGAATTTTGCAATGAACTACTGGAGAGAAAATGGAGTTCCAGCTGAAAAACTCCTCGTGGGATTCCCAACGTATGGCAGAACATTTAGGAACCCTAATCCTAGCAAATGTGATGTAGGGATACCTGTAGCTGGAGCAGGATCAGCTGGTCCATACACTCGTGAGGCTGGCTTCTGGGCCTACTATGAGGTGATATTTTTCTACATGAATATATCTAATAACAGATTGGAAGACGCTATGTAAATTTGTACCAGACAAATGCTAATAGCTGTGTGTATAGTGCTTCTTGCTAGCTTCCCCAATAGTGGTTTTGTGTACAAAAAGTAGTAGAAACAGATGGTCTGTGCTCATTATTAGGGATGCACCGATATATCGGCCGCCGAAACAACATATCGGCCGAAAATAACACTTTTGGCAAAATGCATCCCGGCTTTCTCTCCTGCGCTGCTGTGTCCCAGCGGAGGAGGAGAGAAACTGTCACAGGCGGCCAAGCGGTGCGGGAGGATAGCGGTGTGAGAGTACGGCGTCTCTCCTCCCCCGCAGCGGTCAGCCTCCTGTCACAGATCAGAGGAGAGCAATGTGTAGGCGAAGACAGCCAGCACTGTCACAGGAGGCCAGATGGCTGTGCAGGGGAGGAGTCAGCTGTCAGTTCGAGCTCTCCTTAGCCTCCTGTGACAGCTGTCAGGATGGAGAGCAAGGTACAAACACTCAGGAATCAGTGATCGCTGAGTGTTTGTAAATAATTGGGGACAGAGTATAGTTACTATACCCTCAATTATGAATGAATGGTAAGTGATCTACATCACTTCCTGTTCATTCATGATTGTGGTTATAGTAACCATACTCTGTCCTCATGTTATAAATGAACAGGAACACTCAGTATAGAGGATTTCTGTTCATTTATAACAGGGGCTGCAGAAAAAGAGATTGAGAACTCTGTGTCCTCAATCTCTTTTTTTCTATTTTAAAAGGGAAATATCAGGGGTCTGTTTAGACCCCTAATATTTCCAACTGTCATTTATCCAGCATAGCTCTGAATAATGGTATAACGGAGCTGATAATCAGAATATATCCATCCATCATCAGTTTTCTTGCTGAGATACACCTAAAGTGAACATGCCAGTTGTTCAGGCAGGAAATGACGGTGGGCTCAACATAGCTGCTGCAGCTTCAAAGGGTTATATTGTGGAGATGCAAGTTTGCAGAGAAGTGCGAGTATGAATATGAGTGATTACTTTTACAGTATTTAAAAAAAAAAAACATTCATGTAATTGTTGGAGTATACCGATTTTCTGGTATATTGTAATACAGCAACATGACATTATATCATTAGAAGTGTCCTTGCTAGCACCAGGTTTAAGATTGAATTGTATGATTACACTTTACTTGTGGGAAAATTTAGATTTATTTGCAGCAAATTAAGGATAATCTGTTTCAGCGTAGGACGGGAGTTGCTACAGCTGTGGAAGCAAAAGGTAAGGCTGGAATTTACCTTTGAGAGATGATTGATCTTGCCCCTAAACAAACCATTAGTAAAGCCTCATCTGACATATGCAGTCCAGTTATGGGCGCCAGTTCACAAAAAAGGTTGTTGCAGAACTGGAGAGAGTTGAATTAAGTTTAATAGAGAAGAGGCGATTATGAGGGGATATGGCCACCATGTATAAAACCATTAATGGTCCATAAAGACACCTTGGTGCAAAGGTTATTCACTATAAAGTCATTGCAAATGGCAGGAGGGCACTCTTTGCACCTGGAGGAAAAGAGGTTTAATCCCACTACAGAAAGGCTTCTTTACAGTAAGAACTGTGACAATGTAGAACAGATTTCCTCAGGAGCTAGCTCTAGTCAACTCAGTAGATTTTGAAAGGCTGAATATTTTTCTGCAAACTATAACTGGCTATAACGATTTATAAGTAATAACATGTAAATTGTTGATCCAGAGAGGATCCGATTGCCTTGAAGTGGATGTTAAATCTGTTTAAAAAAATAAGTGCCCTGGTAATGTTTGCTGTAATGTGCTAATATGCAATGCATATTAGAACATTTTGGCCAATGTACCTTGTAAAACCATCCCCTCCGTCATCGGCGCTGCCATCTTCTTCCAGTCTTCTTTCGGGTTCGGTATCTTGGGCCTCTTAATTAGCCAGCCGGCATGAAGTATCTGCTGCGCATGTGTTACTTCATCTCAGCACGCTGGGTCTGTGCACTGAGCTGCGCATGCACGGCTCAGCATACAGAAAAAAGAAAGATGGCGGCCAGGCAGGTAGGAGTTTTTTTAGCAGAAGGCACTTACACATTCTCTTCTGCTATAAAAACGTGCCTGTCAGCAATTTTTTTTTAAATGACTTCACTTGTGCTGTAAGGGATCAGGAAGGTTTATTTCTCACTATGTGTTGGTGGTTCTGAGGTTACAGGTTTTTAATATATTTATTTTTCTCTTTTGGATGAATGTGTCTTTTATTGTTTTAACCCGACTGACTGTATACAGTAATTATCACTTTTTATTCATATATTCTTCTAGATCTGCACATGGCTTAGGGGGACCACGGTGAAATGGATTCCAGACCAGAGGGTACCATACGCTTGTAAAGATAATGAGTGGGTTGGATTTGACAACCAAGAGAGTTACGAATGCAAAGTAAGACAGAGTTTAGTTATAGACATATGTGATTTATTTTATGTTTTTGTAATGATTGTAGGTTAAATAACTATTGTCCCAAAAACAAAATAAACCATTACAGTTTAACAATTATTATTAAATTATGCAGAGGCCATGAAGCCCAATTCCAGCCAATTGTTTTGTTTTTTAGTTTTGGATACTGTAGGGTAAGGTTAGCAACAATATCAGGTTTTTATTAATAAATATGGTACCGCAAATGGTGAGCGCTCTACTCCAATCCAGAGGGACAAAGACTTATATGGGAATGGATGAACTAATGGTTCTTATTCGAAGACACTTTGATTGTTGTAAGGTTTTATTGCTAGTTGTTTCTCCATTGGGAGATTTCCTCTCATCTTCAGTCCCTGTGACTGATTTCCTGCCCCTTTGCCACCCTGTCTTCAGAAGAGGACCTGCAAAAAAATCTCCCTTGGATGATAGAGAAAGCAATAAAATCCTGAGAGAAGTTCTAACCCTTTTCAGGTCAGCATTAAGCAAAGGTTTTGGCTGGTGTTGGGCTTTAACGACATAATAATGATGTTTCACTAAACCACCATTGTTAATATATATGTCTTGCTCCGGAAAAAAACATGCCATGCGATCAAAATGCTGCAAGCACTATTTTGATCGCAACGGACCGCACTGCAGGCACAATGTGCCTTGCGATCCCGTGTGGGCGATCGCATTGCGGCCGGAGGGCGTGGCTACGGTGCCATTCACTTCAATGGCCCGTCACGCCCCCTCCTGCCCCGCAAAAAAGTGAGCCGGCCGCAAAGCGAGGCAGTGCGTTCTGGCCAGAATCGGACCAGAACGCACAGTTTATGGTGTGAACTAACCCTTAAGCTAGTGGATAATAACCATGCAGAGTTACTTCTCTCTCCACCCTTCAACTGTCCTGCGAAACCTCTGTCATTTGTAAAGAAAGACTGGAGATTAGAAAATTAACTCCTACAGCTGGAAAGAATACTAACAATTTGGGGTCCATGCCTCAGTTCTTAGGAAATGGCAGCAGCCAAAATCTAGTGCTTACTACGTATATTGTTATTGGAAAAGTGTTTGTATGATGATGGTGGGATTGTAGTTCAAACATTGGTGGTTTCTTCGCCCTACACTTTACCCTGAAATCACTTAGAATATATTTACCTTAAAGAAAAAAATGAAACTGGTTCATACTGTTTAATGTTTGCTTCCTAGGTAAGATTTGTGAAGGATGGTGGATTTGGTGGTGCCATGGTTTGGGCTATAGATTTAGATGATTTCCAGGGAACTTTCTGCAGCGAGGGGAAATATCCATTAATCACCAAACTAAAATCCTTGCTGGAAGGTATGACATGTTGACCTGTAACATATATTTACAAATATTGTATGCTGATGGCGAATATATAGGTGTAGACATTTAAGGTGACACTGAAGCCTGTAGTTAAATCTTAAAAACGCACTCAAATATCCTAACTAACAGAAATGTATCTTATTCGTGTATCACTCAGCTGTAGATCCTCAAATCATCTCTGAATTGGTGGTGACAATGTTCTTCCTTCTGGAGGGTGGCTACATTTGTTCCCTGTGTGTTGTAAAGTAGCCAACACTCCAAGCTTGCTGGAGTGTGACAGACTACAATCTTAGGTTTAGTTTACTAATTTGTATTGAGATTTCAGTCCAAGAGAAGAAGCTTGGAGCAGTGGCTGCTTAACACACACACACAGGGACCATCACTAACAAAAGTAGCCACCCTCCATAAGGAAGGACAGTGTCGGCATGAATTCAGAGATAGTTTGAAGATCTACATCCGAGTGATGAGATTTAACTCGAGTTTAGTGTCATTTTAATGAATGAGGTTATTGTATATAATTTTAAGATTCTATAGTTAACCTTTTTAATATATAGGAGAGACCGAAGGAAACAACATTTATTTATAATGAATATATATAATAAACATTGGTGGGTGATTGCATTACAGTACATATTTGCTCCCTGTATCATGTCCTTTATCTAACAGGGCGGCCACTCTATTGGCGCTGAGACATGCATATAAAATTGTGGATTGCATATTTCCCACTTTTTACTATACAATACACATCTCTCAGAATCCAAATGGAGACAATCATTGTTAACTCTAAGCTGATGGCCTGTAAAGGGTTTTGATGTGTTGCCTAAGGAAAATCTGGGGTACCATGGTTTTTTCCATTTCTCAGATGCACGCAATTCTGAAACTTAACATATTTACTCTGTGCAACCTCAACTTTTAAATTTTACAAAAAATAGGTATTGTGTTTATGTGCACTAAAATTAATTTATAAATAAATGGTGTTTGTCACTGAATTTGGGTTTGATAAACAGCTGCACTAATATCATGACACATAAAAAATTGCAACTGCCACCATTTTATTCTGCAGGGTCTCTGCTTTCAGAAAATATATAATTCTGGGGTTTTTAGGTAATATTCAGGCCTAAAATGTGCATTATAACATGTGTGCAATAAAATTAGCAAAAACATATTTGGTAGCGAAAAGGTTAATACATGATAAAGGGTTCCCAGAGCACTAAGGTGGGGTTTTAAAATTCTGCACTTGCAGTAAACCGTAACATCGACAATGCACCTGTTAGAATTTATACACCTCTCTGAGGTGCTATAAATTCTCAGTAACACCTCAATGCGCCATGCTGTTGCAAAGAAATAGTACATGCGTTTTGGTGAGTTCAAACGAATAGGCTGCCTTAGCACAACTTCTGTCATTGTACCACAATTGTGGTACAGCCTAAAGCTGGCCATACACCTTACAATTATCTGCAGATTTTCTGTGGTCAGATGGAAAAGGTGCAACAGATTCCTCCATCTACACTTAACTGTGTGGATGGAGTTATCTCCACCTGGGCCAATCTCTTGCACTTTTTCCATCTGACCACAGAAAATCTGCAGATAATTGTAAGGTGTATGGGCACCTAAAGGGTCCTAAATCCAGCCTAAGGGTTATATAAAATAACACCGAAAAGCTTGCTTTACAGTTCCCTGTTTCTGATAGAATCCTTTTAGACTCCTGACAAGGCATAAGTCACTGTTCTGAGTTCTATAAAACAAGAGCACAGCACAGATGAAAAGAAATCATGCTAATAATGTGAGAAGAGACTAGAGCTACATCTTCTGGCTGGATAGAAGACTACAATATTTCATATTTACTATTTCTAAAACTTGTATTTGTTTTATTGTGATAAATTGCAGTTTGGGAGACATTTCCTGTTTTTGGGGTAGCACCTTTTTCAGGGTGATTTTTAGATAGTATAACGTTGGCCTCCTATTAGCATTGTGTGCTCTCAATTCAATGAGGTGCATCCTTGGGCTTGTTTTATATATTGCACAGTCTCGTTAGCAGTATTTTTCATTATTTTTGTCTCCTTAATGTCACTGTTTTTTCACGTTATGATGCTTGCCAGTGTACATAGTTATTTTACTTGACCTGCATTATTTGTGTGTATTTTTATTATATATACATTTTAAAGTTTTAAGCAAATTGTAATTTTTATAATGCTTAATAATTTACATGTAACCTTTTTAGGTTCCACCGTAAACTGTCCTGGTGAAACAGTATGTTCGGGCAATGTTGATATTCCAACTACTACAACAACTACCACTGCAACTCCACCTACAACACCATCTGGAGGTACAACCCCATCTGCAGGTACAACCCCATCTGCAGGTACAACCCCATCTGGAGGTACAACACCTGCACCTCCAGTCACCCCTCCTCCAGATCCTCCAGGCAATGATGTTGATCCTAACTTCTGTGCGGGTAAAACTGATGGACTTCATGTAAATCCATTAAACAGTAACAAATTCTACATATGTGCTGCTGGAAGGACCTATCCCTTGCAGTGTTCAGCTGGTCTGGTGTTTGATTCAAGCTGCAGCTGTTGCAACTGGCCCTGAGCTACCTATTACTCTTATGCAAATTCTCACCACTGTTGTATGACTCTTTAATAAAGCTGCATTTAAAAAAGTTAACTGAGTGGTGTTTTTTTTTTTCTTTTGCTGTCAATTGCTTACCAAAATATTTGAGTTTGAGAGCCACCTTGGGTTTAAGGCGGATCTCATGGTTTTGCTGTTCTGTAAAACTCAAAAATTATGGTCGACAGTATTTGCCTGAACCCGTAATGCACTGCATAACCCTTGTTCCTTGTCTCTGAGAAACAATAATCTTAAAGAATTGGATATAGCCACCCCTCTCACAAATCTCTGTAGGGAGAGATACTTTGCTATACAGTGCTATACTGCACTACACAGTGCTATATTGTGCTATTCTGTAGATTGTATTGGGGTAAGCTACATACCCTTGTGTAGGCCCTGTGTTCACAGTTCCACAAGCATAACTGTTCTTCTTAGGACACTTTTTTTTTTTTTTTTGTATCAGCAGCAAATGCATGCTTGCTTGCTAGCCCCCGTACCATCCCTTTTTCTTTTCTCGGTGAATTTTTAGTGTCTTTGTTATTTAATGTAACTTTTTTTTTTTCATCTTCCGCTCGGGTTAAAAAAAATTGTGGGTTTTTGTTTTGGTTGGCTATATATATTATGGGTAGGGGAATATTCTATTTGATTTGTGTCTCCCATTGTTACTAATGATCCCTCTTCCCCCTCCTTTTCTCGGATACTGTATGTGAACATTGTGCTGCTCTGTAGTGCCACACAGGGCTGGCCTTAGGCCTTTGGGCACTATGTGCGAGAAAGCTTTAAAGTGTCCCTCCATGGCCACACCTCAGTGACCACACCCATTTCTCCAATACCTACACCATTTAAAGCTTACCATTTTGTTAGGCCCCATAGAAACAGATTAAAAAGTATGATAAAAATAAAACAATTATTCAAAGGTATTAAACTTGTAAGCACAATATAAGTATTCTTATTAAAAAGCAGGCAAACAAGTGGTAAACAATCAATGTCAAACTAAAATAGTCTATAAAAATAAAGTGTCAATGAGCATTGTTATTGAAATCATTGAATGTACGGATAAGCCTTTTCTGTTATGTAAAATGCCAGAAATGTGAGATTAATATGATACCTATTTGATTGTTGTTGTCATTTATGATTGACCTGTTTCTCAATAAACAATTATTGTTAAAAAAAAAAAATATTAAAGTGTCAGGATGTCATATAGACCCATTTTTTCAAGTAAGTGCATCAAGTAAAAACAAGAAACAGAACACAAAACCTAGACACATGTTAAATAGTGCATACTGTTTACTAAAACAAAGTAGATTAAAATAGAAAAAGAAAATGAGGACACAGTCTCTTTTTCTGCAGCCTCAGCACTGAGTGAACGGAAAGCACACTGTACAGAGGCTTCCCACTCTTTCACAAACTGGAGATAGTAAATGTTTACTATCAACCAGTTATGAATGGATAGAAGCCTCTGTACCGGGCTGCTTCTACCTATTCAGAAACTCGTAAATGAACAGGAAGTGATGTAAAGCACTTCCTGTTCATAACTGGGTACACATAGTACTATGTGTCCCCAGTTGTTTACAAACATTGGAGTGATCACCAATCACTCCAGTGTTTGTGCTGCACACAGAATCAGTAAATATTACACATATTTACCAATTCTCCACTCGGCCATCCTGAAAGTGACAAGAGCCGCTCAGTCATGCACACAGACACTCCTGGATTTGACAGCCAGCGGCTCTGTAATCTTCTTCCCGCTTGTCCATCCTGATGACAGCGCTCCCTCCTCCGCCCCCCGCCGGCTTCAGTGCTCCATTTCTCTTTGAGTCCCCGCTGCCTCTGTCCATACAGGTGGGGTAGAGCAGTGGGGATCCGAGGAGAAGGTGCAGGGTGTGTCGCCCCTCTACTCCCTGCCGCCCAGAGGCCATGTCCTCGGTGGCCTTGTGAGGAATCCGGCCCTGCCTGCTGCTTGTGTCATAGCGAGCTGTGTTGCCCACCTGACGCCCTTGTTGCCATGGTGCCCTGTGCATCCGCACAGCTTGCACACCCCAAAGGCCGGCCCTGGCGCCACATACAGCTTAAACATTATATATATATATATATATCAAACCTCTAAAGAATTTGTGTATCTCTAACTTCGCCCTCAAAGGGGCATTGGTGCATGTCCTCCATGGCTCAGTTTACTATGCCTCTTCCTTTTTTTTTTTTCAAACAATTTGTTTATTAGCCCCACAAATGGAATAAATTGATAAATTGAATATCACGATTTGTGCCCCCCCCGCATGGATTTTAATGCGGTTCAGGGAAGTTCGGATTAGAAGCTAGGCAGAGTAGCTAATCTCTACTGGCCAGACAAAACATTTTTGCATTTTGTTTCTGTTATATGTACATTTACTATATGTTGATAGAACATGAGCTATTTCTGTATCAACTAGAAAAAGTGCCATTGTTATAATAATCAGGTTTCTTTTTCACTGATAAATATATTTTGATTTTATGATGGTGCAAAATGTATCTTAAAATCCATGGCCACCATTGATACGGGGACAAAGCTATACTCATGGTCAAAACTACGGTGTTTGGGAATAAAGAAACATGACAGGTGCTGTATCCCAACAGGTTTTGTTCTGTCCTGGAATGGCTCAGCAGGTAACTGTCGTGGATGAATTGATTAGTCCAGATACAATTCTGTTTCCTATTCGTATGATGATCCTAATTGTTTAATCACTTGAAGACCAGGGTGTTAGGCCTGGTTCACACCTGGGCGTTTTACAGCGCGTTCCTACGCGCTATAAAACGCTCAACATGTGAAAACCAATGATTGCCTATGGGCATGGTTCCCACCTGGGCGTTTTACAGCGCGTAGGAGCGCGCTGTAAAACGCCCTACGCCCAGAGAATTACAGGAGCTTCTTTGGGGCGTATTTGTTGCGCGTATCCATTGGGGTACAGCCAGGTAGCACTCGGAAACACAAACTCGCGGCAAACGCGCATATTCCGTACGCCTAGGTGTGAACCCAGCCTTATACCCCCTTCCTGTCCAGGCCATTTTTCCGTATTAAGCGCTGAGGTACTTTGACATTTATTCAGTCATGCAATGCTGTACCAAAATGCAATTTTATATCATTTTTTGGGGGACAGATATAGATTTATTTTGGTGGTATTTAATTACCACTGGGGTTTTTTCCTTTTTACTATATAAAAACATTTTTTTCCTACGTTATGCTATGAAACATTGCAAATAATCTTTCTTCATATATTAAGCTAAAATGTATTCTGCTTCATTCCATGAAATCGCAAAAAAACTCATACCCAAAAATTACCCATATGCAAGGCTTTAACAGTGATTGATTGGCCCTAGAATTATTGCTTGCGCACCGTGTTTGCAGTGATATGTAACGTGTGGCACAATTGTCATTTTTGCACATAGGCTCATCCGGCATGCGTTTGCATTTGTATGTGCATGTACATGGAGGCAGGGGACTTTAGCAAAATGTTTTTGTGGTGTTTTTTTAAAAACATTTTTGAACGTGTGAAAAACAACTATGGTGCTATCACATAGGGGCCTAACAAGCCCCCTATGTGATAGCACAGATACAGTGACAGGTCCTCTTTATGGAGACATTTAAATATATCCATTTCATAATTTGATGTGTATATGGTGGAGGATTCTTAAAATCTGTAACTTGACAAAGGATGTACGGATGCCACCCATGTGTGAATAGGATGGTAAATGAAGGACTACAACTTCTCTGAGCAGAGTATGTTGAAAGTAATTAGTTCGTCAGTATGCTATTCTACCATGCAGATCTCCCCTCTTGGTCTGTGAGAGCAGATGTGTTGAGATGAATGGTCAGCTTGATATGCTAACCTGGACAACTGGTTTTACACCAAGTGGTGGTTTGGGAGTGTCTGTGAGCTCAGGAAGATAACACTCAAGATAATATGCATATACTCTACTTGGAGACAGCGTGAAACCAATCATGTTATGGCCAACCAAGTTATTAGATCAAAGAGACTTAAGTTGCCATCCAATCACTATCAGGGGTTTCTAATGATGGTGAATGAAGTTAGCTAGAATAAAGAGGCACAGGGAGAAAGCCATTTTAGGAGACAGGCCCATCTGAGAGGAATCATTGTGGAGGAGGTCATCTGAGAGGAAGCCATTGTGGGAACCACAGTCCAGAACCTGTGTACTGTTACAGGGTGGGTAATATACGTACATGTAGTTGACGAGTTATACCAACCAGTTTATGATATATCATGTGTTGTAGAGGTGTTTGGTTGGTGTCTTCCCTGGTTTAGTATTGTTATTTTAACATTGTTGGTTTGTTATTGCTGTGCTAGTGTTCCTGTGGTAGTAATCTTTGATAGATTATTTATTGTTATTGTTATTGCTGTACTCTTTTCTTTATCAATAATCAAGTTATGTATGTTTAAATTCCTGGTACAATATATTCTTTTAAACCTACAGTTTATGGTGTGTATTTTGTATTTCTTAGCTGACCTACCCTTGTACAGTAAGAAGTGGGTGTTAATAAATAATATGGATATAATTTATTAATATTCATATCCATAATCATTTAAACATATTTTTTAGCCAGAACCCACGCACCAGTAGAACTCCCACAGTGATACCAGCCATTGTTTTCTCTATAAAAGGTACCAGCCAAATTCTATCAGTGCTGAGACAGACATGAGGAAAATGCTGCTTTGGGCGTGTAAGAGACACAAATCATAATGCTTGGCATTGCACTTTATTGTCTGCATGATATTTTAATGCCTTGAATGCAACGGATAGTCTGTGATTACAAATGATAAAACTGGATACTACATTAACTTGCCTTGCTGTTCTATAGATATTGGTATCCAGGACTTCTCCAGAGTCTCTCCCATCCTCTGGAACTCTCTACCCCAATCTGTCCGCTTGTCTCCAACTCCAGGGGTGGAGAACCTCCGGCCCTCCAGCTGGGGTGAAACTAAAATTCCCAT